TGTCAGTACCATTCTACAACAGTGGCACCATGCAGTGTTTGTCCTTTTGTGACTGAGATACTTCACTCAGCATAATGTCCTCAGGGTCACCCATTTTGAATAATAGTGCATGATTTCCTTGTTTTTCAATGCAGTGTTAGTATTCCATTGTTCCATTGTGTGACTATACCACAGCTTCTCTATCCATTTGTTTGTTGATGGGCACTTAGGTTGTTTCCAACTCCTTGCTATCATGAACAAAGCCGCAATAGACATGGGTATGCAGAAATCTGCTTGGATGTCTGTTGTGGTCTCTTCAGGGTATATTCCCAGTAGAGGAATTGCTGGGTCAAATGGTATCTCTATTTGCAACTTTTTGAGAAGGCGCCCCACCATTTTCCACAGTGGTTGCACCATTACACTTCCAACAGTGAAAAAGGGTTCCAGTCTCTCCACAACCTCACCAGCATTTTTTTTTTTGCTGTTCTGTTAAATTTTGCTATTCTAACTGGGGTGAGATTATATCTCATAGTTGTTTTGATTTGCATCTCTCTTAGAGCTAGGGATTTTGAACATTTCTTCATGTGCTTGTTGGCCATCTGAATGTCTTCTTTGGTGAAGTGTCTGTTCATATCCTGTGCCCATTATTCAATTGGATTATTTATCTTTATCTTGTTGTGATGCTAGCACACTCTTAAAAGTACTTAGTCCAGATTTTCTCACTCTCTCAGCAGCGTGGGTGTCCAGTGCTGCCTCACGGATGTGGAAGCTTGGCTGCTGCCACTGGGTGCCATGTGTGTGTGTGTGTGTGTGTGTGTGTGTGTGTGTGTGTGTGTATGTGTGTGTGTGTGAATGGCAGGAGTGGAGGTGGCTGCAGAGCTACCTGTTTCTGGGATATAAAGCCTGAAGTAAATGCAGCCTGAGAGAACCTCACTTGCTTGTATGTTTGAGGCTTATCTTTTAGCAGATACGGAGCTTCTATTTTAAAGCAGCAAACATGTAAGAGCCCAGGGTGTGTGTGTGTGCAGGATTAGGTCTCTGTTGAATGTATGGGCTCATGCACCAGGGCCAGGGTGTGGGGACCAGGGTGGAGGGAGGCCAGGGTGTGGGGGCCAGGGTGGGAGTGGGGGCCAGGGTAGAGGGAGGGCCAGGGTGTGAGGGAGGCCAGGGTGTGGGGGCCAGGGTGGAGGGAGGGCCAGGGTGTGAGGGAGGCCAGGGTGTGGGGGCCAGGGTGTGAGGACACAGTGGAGGGAGGGCTGGGGTATGAGGACAGGGTGGAGGGAGAGTCAGAAACCAGAGTTCCAAGGACAGTCAGTGAGGGATGTCTTCACTGAGATGTGAGGGTTATACAGATCAGTGTGTGAGTGGGAGTGTGAATGAGGGTGTGTTGCACATTGTGAGAGACCCAGCAAAAATGTGAGTGGGGACATATGACTAAATGTGTGAGTGCCCATGTAAGTGTGCAAATGAGTGTGTGTGGCAGAATTAGTGTGGAAAGGTGTATATAAGGGATGTATGTGAATGTGCCCATAAGTGAATCTTTATGAATGTGTGTGTGTGTGTATGTGTGTGTGTGTGTGTGTGTGTGAGAGAGAGAGAGAGAGAGAGAGAGACCCCCAAGTCTGTTGCTTGTTGATCACACATTTGTGTGATGCCTCAGGACTTGGAAGATCTGGTTCAAATCCAGGTTCTGTCACCTTGTGCCTTAGTTTCTCCATCTATAACAGAAGGATCAGGGTCATGACGATTACTTAGGCTCAATGATGGGAAGCACTGGGTAGGCAGGCACAGCACGGATGCTCAGGAATAACCCAGACTGTTGCTCCGAAGGGGATGAGCCAGAGGAGGGTACAGGGATGTCACCCCCTCAGCCAGCATCCTCCCACCAGCACTCTCTCCCTCAGGGGACTCAGAGTTAGAGGTGATGCTGACCACCAAGACCCCCAAGGCTACAGTGGGCGGCCTGAGCCCCTCCAAGGAGTACACTTTGCAGATCTTCTCCCTTTCTGGCTCTGGGCGCATCCTGCTGGCTCAGAGGGAATTTGTGAGTAAGTTAGTGACCTCTGGCTCCAGCCCAGAATTCCCACAACCTGGGGTTGGGGAAAGCCCAGCTGCCAGGAACCTCTCTCCTTGCCCACATACCACGGTCTGGATGAGCTGGGAGGCTGGGGTTAATCCTCCCCTCCAGATGGGACCCTGGAGGGAGAGTCCTCACAGTCCCTCACCTCTCCTCCCAGTTGAAGACTTGAAGAACCGTGCTATGGGCAGGACACCATGGGGTCCACCGCCAGAGCCCACACCTTCCTCAGGGGGAAGCCCAGACCTCAAGTTGACCTCAGAGCCCCAAGTGACTTGGGCCCCCAGTCACAGCCCTCCTGTCCTCGGTGGGTCCAAGTGGGTTGAGGGCCCAGCAGTTGGGAGAGGGAAGGGCTTCCTCATGTCTGACAACATTCTCTCTAGCTTTGCCCCCTTCCTCACCCTTGCTGGATTAACTATGACCAAGACAGAGTGGGGGTGGGGGTGAGACAAGTCACTCCTGTGGTGTAGGGCCCCCCCAGGAGCCCTGTCCTGAGAGCTGACAGTGGTGCCCGCCCCAGGAGTGCCCTGGGGGGCGTGGCCCCGGCAGTTAGAGAGGTGGACCTGCCTTATCGGCCATGATGTCTGAGAGTCAGCACATCTTAGGCTCCCCTGCACAGAGAGGAGTTGGGTAATTGGGTGGGGCCTCGCTAGGGCAGGGTGGAGAATGGCCTGGCTCCCTGTCCCACCTGCCCCTTCCTGGTCGTGTGGCCTTGGATAGCTTGTTTCAGTTTCCCATCTGAAAAAGGGGACTCTGACATCCACCTCATGGGACTTGTGAGATCACTGGGGCCCTTGGGGCCTGGTTCCCACAGGGACCCCATTCCACTGTGTGCCACCGGTGCCCACCGACATGGTCTTCCTCGTGGATGGCTCCTGGAGCGTTGGCCACAGTAACTTCCAGCTCGTCAAAGACTTCCTGGCCAGTATTGTGTCCCCCTTCGAGATCAGCCCCCACCAAGTCCAAGTAGGTGGGTGTGAGTGCCCTCCAGCAGGCGTGTGGGGCTGAGAGGACAGTCATAGCCAGCTGCTTGCTGAGAGAGCCAGGACCCTCAGATACCAGCCCACCCACTGCCCCATGCTGGCAAGTGTTAGGGCTGGCTGGCTTCAAGCTGGGAATTCTTGGGGACTTCGCCAAGGTGGGAACTGGAAGCTGCCTACTCCTCATACCACACATTGACCCTGTTCCTTCAGGCCTGACTCAGTATAGTGGAGACCCTCAGACAGAGTGGAACCTGAACTCCTTCAGCTCCAAGGAAGAGGTGCTGGGTGCCATAAGCCGTCTACGCTACAAGGGGGGCAACACCTTTACAGGTAAGCCAGTGTTGAGGCCTCTGTTCAGTCTGTAGATGAAGACCCCTCTGCACCTCCTTTTTAACCATGGGCCACCCAGCCCCACCTCCATCCTGTCCATGGGCCACTCAATCCTACTCTCATCCTGACCATGGGCCACTGAACCCCACCACCATCTTGACCATGGGTCACCCAGCCCAATCCCTCTCCTGACCAAAAACCACATAGCCCCACCCCCTTCCTCCTGACCATAGACCTCCCAGCCCAGCCCCAAATCCTAATCATGGACCACACAGCCCCATCCCTGTCCTGATCATGGTAGACTGACCAACCCTGCCCTCCAATCCTGATCACTGTGGACTAGATAATCCCGCTCCCATCTGACCTCACACTCAATCATCCCATGTCTACTTGAGGTCATGAGCCCCAGTCACTGACTCTTGACCTAAGGGATTTTGCACCGAGCTGCTCCTTAGGCTGGTAGAAGGCTTTCTACGTGCACCCCTAACTCTGGAGGGCACTACTGCTAGCAGCCCCTCCCACCTGACCATCCACCTCTCTGTCCTCTTCCCAAAGCCTGGACTGGGCACTCCAGGGCCTTCTGTCCGCTCCCCAAGGGCTGGACTGGGCACTCTAGGGCCTTCTGTCCTCTCCCCGAGAGCTGGACTGGGCACTCTAGGGCCTTCTGTTCTCTCCCCGAGAGCTAGACTGGATACTCCAGGGCTTTCTGTCCTCTCCCCGAGAGCTAGACTAGGCACTCCAGGGCCTTCTGTTCTCTCCCCAAGGGCTGGACTGGGCACTCTAGGGCCTTCTGTCCTCTTTCTGAGGGCTGGACTAGGCACTGCAGGGCCTTCTGCCCCTTCCGTCATGTCAGCTAGGCAGTGTCTGGGTGGGAGGCCCTGACAAGCAGAATGGGCTACACTAGTG